CTGGTGCGACACGAACATTGCCTTTCAAATGCTCTCATCAAACTCTGAAAGCACACCGGCGTCTGCGAGCTCCTCGTGCATCTTGACTTCTGTCATCTGCAAGAAAGCATCGGCAGGTACGGTGTACATCGCAAAGGTGTGGTTGCCTAAGCTTGAGACACGCCTTTTACTGGTTGAAGCCCTTCTATGCCCGATAGACCTACTGGGTGCAGGGGTTTCCAACACAGTCACTAGTCACGAGGCTCCTTTGCCGATACAGCATCTTCCACAACCCTGAGCACTAAGTCGGACAAGTCGCCTGAAATACTGTCTCCATTCTTGTGCAGCGCCGAAGCAAACTGCGCAAGAGACTCGCTGTGCATGGCAATTGAAAAACACCCTAGTGGCTACTCCGGAAAGGTTGAAACACTCGGCAGCGGGTCCAAATACATAAGGCCAACAAGCTTAAAGTTCTCCCATTGGCTATCCAAGTTATTTTTGGGAAAAGCAAAAGGGGTTTTAAGGGGCCCTTCAAAGCCTGGGCCAGTGATTTTCCCGCTTGCCACTCCACTTCCGTGGGGTTTCTACAGACTTCCCCTAAGGGTCCATGTACCCAAAGAGTATATACTTTGGCCCTAAAGTAGTCCCTATATAGGTACTTTGGGGCCAATGTATATACTTTTTGCGTACATGGACCCATAGGGATTGTTCTTGACAAGTTCTAGGTTGATATACGCCATCATTGCATTTCTCTGCACCAAAGAGCACCAACAGATGTCCGCCAATTAAAAGGTCTCTATACTATAGGGGTCCAACTTTGAGGGGCTCAAGGGTCCTTCGAAGGGTTTTCACGGCTCTTTAAAAGGTTTAGGGTCTAGGGTCCGTGCTTATCTGTGTGCCTGAAAACATGGGCTTTCATGGGGTGTTGAAGGGCTTCTGCAAGTGTTCTACAAAGGCTAATTACTAGAAGGGGCCAGGGTTGTTAAAAGGCTCGTTTGGGGGGGGGGGGGTGCTTAATGGCTTTTGGAGTGCAAAGGTCTTCTTTATGAGTAGATGGTTTTGTAAAGTTTACAGGAAGCTTTGATCTGGCGTTGATTTATTCGGATCCCTTACGTCTTACGTCATTAGGGGAGTGAGAGATTCTAGATTCGAGGCTTTCCGCGGTTCTCGGGCTGAGGGGTAATTAAGGGTGCAGGGTTGATGGATATGGGTAGAGGGGTAGGGCTTTAGGATGTAGGGAAGGAACATCGTAAGGTTTCAGGGCTTTGGTTTAGGAATTAATTAAGGACATGGCGTGTAGGGATGAGTGAATATCATATAGGTTTCAGGGCTTTGGGCTTTGAGGTTAGTGTGCGGGGCTAGAGCTTTGGACTTAGCATTCAAAGGATTATGGGTATGTCGGCGTCTACTGGAAGGTTGTTGAGATTCTACTTCGGCCAAACACAACTACTGCTGTATGCAGACGGATTTCGGTATGTTCATCGCTTGTCTGAAGCTTTTCTGGTGGTTGGAAAGTCTCCGGCAACAGCGAGTTGATGGATTTTGGAAGAAGTTCCGGAAGGCTTACAGTCTATGAAAGCACACTGCTTCTAATAAAAGCAGCACGGAGGACACGCTGCAGTGGTCGGTGAACTCGACCATAGCTACAACATTGAGGATGGTCCTAGAGGGTCATAGGAAGCTCGCTGCTCAGCCGAGCAGGATCATGCACCGAACTGAAGATCGTACGTGGCATATGTGGGGGTTTCCGAAAATAGGGGACCCTAATATAGTACCCTATAATTAATAGGATCCCTATTATAAGGACCCCAAAATAAGGTACCCTAATTTCTGAAACTCCCATGACCTAGAGTCTTAGAGTATCTTTTTGAGCCACTGAGTGCCAGACGCACTGGGAACTTGCCACGGTTCACAATGTCGAAAGTGCGCTGCACGCCTCGTCAGCAATCCGAGTCAAGCAAGAGAGAGGACGAGAGCGAGAGAGAGACAGCAAAGAGAGAGGCAAAGACAGAGAGAGAGAGAGAGATGGAGAGGGAGAGAGAGAGAGAGAACGAACGAATGAACGAGCAAACGTAAGACAGCTCACAGCAGGCAGCACCGCTGCAGTTGCCGGATGGCTGAACTTCGCACAAAGAAGACATGCGCACTCCGAGAAACTCACCAAGACCTAAGGTTTAAATTAAGGCCTTTTACTGGTTTAGGGCTTGGAGATAATTGGGGTCTATGGCTGAGAATTTCGAACATCTCGATCAAGCCCTCTGGTCACATCACAAAGTTTTCCATGGCTGATGTCCGAGGCCGGCACTGCTATGCACTAGCACGGTGCCGAAGTCCAATGCCACCTTCCGAAAGCCGGATTTGTTTAGGCTCCACCCAAACCGTGCGCCTAAACTCGGAAATGTGCAAGGGCCTGGTAGTTGCCCGCCGTCCCAAAGACCCAAGCCCTACACCTTAGCGCCTAACTTAAGGGATTCGGTTATGTTTAAGGTATCCTCGGGCTCAAGAGAGTCGTTCGAGGGTCGTCTAGGGCTTCAGGTGTATATGCTTTCTAGATGGTCTACGGCTGAAGGGCTCTACAGTATGAACAGGAGCCCCGAAATAAGTTCACTACCTCATACGGTTACCCTTGCCAAAAACCATGTACCTCTTGATATACTGTCAAAAAACTCCCTAAACCCTAGACCCTAAACCCTAAATTCCTAGAACCTCAACGTCTCAACCCTCCCCCCAAAGCCCGACCTCCCGTGGATCGGGCTCGATCACGGCATCCACGGCAAAGGACTCGGCGGCCACGCTCAGCTTCGCGGCCTCTCGGAAGTCCGGTCTTCCAAGGACTTTAGGAGGGACCCTGAATCCCATCACCTTAAATAACCGTTGTGTAGTCCTTATATACCCCTTATATAGCCAGGTAGTCTCCATAGTAACCCCAATAACCTACAAGGGTCCCTATTAGGGGTCCCTCCTATTGTCCCTTACGGTCTGTTCAGAAAAGCCAAAAACAGATGCTAAGCCCAAAACCCTAATGTAGGGGCCTTAATAAAATAGACTAGGGTTTTGGGGGTTCCGTAAAAGGGCTCCTTAAAGGGTTCTATAAGGGCTACTATAAGGGTTTAGGGTTTAGGGGCCCGAAAAATAATTAGAATAGGGTCTTGGGGCCCATTATACTATAGTTATAATAAGGATTCCCCAAAATAATGTAGGTAATTGTTCAGGCCCCTACATGAAACCACCCGGCCCCAAATTCTACATGGCTTATGAGCAAGCATACTTTACCTTCTTCGTGTTATGACAGCCACTGAACTATTATCTCACTTAGGAAAAACCTGGAGCTCTTCTAACGCTGCGCGGAATATGTGTGAGAACATTCTAGAAACTTTCCATCATTGGAGTAAAAGTTGAACCATCATAAATGCGATCATTATTATCAAATCATTTTCTGCGCTTTTCAAGATTCTTGCTGGATACCTCATCGATCTAAACCCCGAATACCCCAAACCCCCCCGAAAACCCGAAACCGACATCTCTGAACCGAGCCTGCTGCCAGCTGTTCAAGCCTTCCGCATCGCGGCTCTCCAGGAGTAGCCTGGCAACAGGGCTATTTGGGAATGTATACAATAGGCTTGTATGGGGTTGACGGCTTTACAGTTTTAAAAGTCTTTTCTCAGATTTATATGGCTTCAGATGGTCCCTTAACGGGCTTTATGACTTATTTGTTCGATTTCACAACGTTTAATCAGCACATTGCCCTTCTACTCCGCACTGTCACCATTTAGCCTCAAGCCCGAGCCGCCTTGACCCAGCAAATCACACAAAGGCTCGAGCTGCTACGCACGAGATCTTAGGGCTCAGAGGGTAAACGCCCGCAGGGCTTTCGGGCTGGTGGTTCAAGGTTTGACTAAGGTTTAAGGAGCTATTTTGCAGGGCTGCTGTGGACACCCTAAGTGCCGAGTAGGAGTAGGCTGGGAACCGTCTGAACCAAATCCGGAACTGCATGGTTGCCTTCAACCCTCAATGCCGCCCTGGAGGCCCTGAGCCACCATGAAAGATGCCTGGGCTTGGACTAGAGTTTTGTATCTCAGTAGATGCTAATAGCTTGGTCGTGTCTTGAAGAGCATAAACCCTAAACCCTAAACCCTAAGTAAGTTTATGCTTGCCACAAGTAACTAAGTACTTAGACTCTTCGGCCAAAACCCTTGTAAAATCCTATCAGACCCTTCTACAGCCCTCAATAAGGGACCCTAAGCCCTAAACCCTATGACACCCCTTTTTAAGGGGACGCCCTACAGCCTATCAAGCTTTTTATAATGCCCCGAAACAAGGGGACCCTACATCCCAAACCCTAAACCCTTGAACCCTAAACCCTAAACCCTATATCCTAAACCCTTAAACATGGGGACCCTTGAGGGAAAGGGCACAGGAAGACAGGGCCGGTCCACGAGGCGCTGAACTGCGCGGCCCTGGCGGAACGGAAGCTGAGGCGGATGTCGCGCTCCTGCGCTATGGGTGGGTTCAGGGTTCAAGGGTTGAGGGTTCAAGGGTTTAGGGGTTTTAGGGTTTAGGAGTTTTCGGGTTTAGGGTTTAGGGATTAGGGTGCAGGTTTTTCGGGTTTGCCCGAAGGCTCCATGTACCCATATGGTCTTTACTTAGGCCTTTATTGGGGCTCCTATATAGGCACTTCAGGACCTAAGTATATACTATATATAACATGGGGCCCTAGGGTTAGGGCTTGTGATTCGGCCTTAGGGTGGTTTTACGGTTCATGGTTCAGGGTTTTGGGTGGTGGTAAAGCTGAAACCTCGTCAAAACCTTGTCTAAAACAGATTTATAGAACCACTTGTAATCCTCGTCGTAAAATCAAGCGACGACCGTGCCAGTGCCCTAAACCCCAAACCCTAAACCACGTCTCTGCACCGTGGATCTCACCAGCCGGCCCATGTCTAAAGTGATGCCAAAGTTTACCTGGACCCTAAAGAACCTACCTTTTTAGGGTTCCCTTATTATGAATTCTTGATATATGTCCTTAAAAAGGTAGGATATTTGGGGTTAAGGTAGGGTTTAGNNATGGGTCGTTATAAATGGGGCTCGGCTATAAGTCCGGTCATAAGTTATAGCTAAGCTTCCCCCTTACAACTCCCCTTATAACCACCTCTCCAAGTAGAGCTGCGGGTGGACAGTCTGAGTTGTGCAGTAGATTCGGTTTGTGAAGGGGTTCTACGAAAGTCCGGGGCTTAACGTCCGGGGACCGAACAGTGGACCCTTAAGAGTGAAACATAGAAGAATGCAGACCTTTGATAAACAACAACGTACCTGTTTATGCTATATGATCGAAGTATTCGAGCCCTATCAATCCCAGGAACAGGAACTCTGGTAACGCCATCAAGTTTTGCAGCATCTGCCTAAACACCTACGGCTTGAACCTGGTAGATTGTAGAACAAGCAATCCTTGACCCAAGTTTATCCCTCAACCCAACACCCTAGACCGAAGCAGCTATGCCCCAAACCCCTAAGTTGAAAACGTTGATCTCAAAAGCACCCCCGACAACCCCGAAAACCCCCCCACGAACCCGTGTTCCTCGTTGCCGGACAACAGGCCCTCTGTTGGTTCGACGCCAAGCTCCTGGATTTAGTGAGGGGTTTCAAAATTAAGGTTCTAGGACGATAAAGGGGGCTTAGGATTTAGAAGGGTTTGGGGGGGGGGGGGGGGGTAGGGGTAGGTTTTGAGAGTTTAGGGGTCCTCAGGGTTCGAGGCTTGAGGGTGTATAGGGTTTACGACATAAAGGAGGACTTCTGGGTGTTAGGAGGTGTTGGAGCTTCGAGTCTCACGGATTCAAAAATCAAGTTCCTAGGAAACCGTCACCGAGGCCGTCCCTGCGATTTTATTGGAAGCAAAAAGGTATATTGAATAGTACTGTTGCATTTGGTTAAAGTTATTATCTTTCAGCAAAAGTTGGGACTTCTTGGACAAGATTTGCTAAATGTCCTCCCAAGGCAGCCTTCTGTGGGGTTCTCGAGCTGCGCGACGATCTTAGTCGGAGCCGTCCCAACTTGCCGCCCGATCAACTTTGCATGACGTCCTCTGACCACTCTAGTACGAGCTGTTGTTGCACCGAAAGGACTTAGAGTTTAGTCTTGGGAATTTTGGGAGTGGGGTTTATAGATATTATAGAGTTTAGAATTTTAGAATCAAGCTTCGGTTTAAGAGACGACATGAGGCAGTTAGGCTTTACAGGGCTTCGGCGCCAACTGCTGAACTTTCCCGGACACAGACACACCTACATCGCATCTTGGGCCTGAACCACGAGATCCCCCCTAGTCTCTCCCAGCATAGACAACTCTCCGGTTTAGGGTTTAGGGATGTTTAGGGTTTAGGGTTTAGGATTTAGGGTTTAGGGTTTAGCGTTTAGGGTTTAGGGTTTGACGACAAACGGAACCATGGCAAAATGCATCAAACCTCGAAACCCTAAACCCGAATCGTTAAACCCCTAAACCCTAAACAAAAGGCGC